TTGGTGATTGTTTCATTGAAATGTTGTACCAACGCTACTCCACGTTCTGCAGAGTCATTGATGAAAACCAGATTCCTTACAAACATTGCTGCAACTTGGAAAGAGGAGTATCTGACCAGTTTTCAACAAGTACATCAAGAAAACTGGCATCAATATTGGATGTTTCAAAAAATGTTTTAAACGCACGCAAATTGTCAAAACTTTGTGGTAGTGTTTTCATCAGATGTGGGCCTCGGTCTGCTTGTATTGTGCGGACAAGATCAGTCTTTTCTTTGTTAGACAGGAGAGATGAAAAAAGAGCAAGAGTTGCCAATTCTGGACTCATGTACCAAGAATGACGCAGCATCATTTTTAATCCAGTCAAACCAAGAACTGCATCGTCTTAGTCATGCAAACGCTGTATCGACAAAATATCATTCACAGGTGCATCAGCAGTGAGCCAGCATGAAAACCATGACTGAAGATAAACCGATTCAAACGTTGAATACGTTGTTATTCTCGAGCTGTTAAGTTAAAAATGGTTGTATTTACGGTGAATAATAGTTCAATTTTTAATGCGTAGATGGCTTTTGCCACCAATCGTGCCGTGTACAGTGCACCAGGTTTGCGAATGGCTACATAAACCTGCAGTCAAGCTATTTGTGCAGCAAGAAGTAGAAATTCTAAATAGTCATCTCGTGTATGTCTGACCACAAGTTGACATTTGATGAATGCTTTAATTGCATCTGAAACAATTATCAATGGGATTGATCTGGCTTCTAGTGTGTGATTCATTTCTGTCCATTTTTAACGAAACATTTTGAAGAATAAAATTTCTGGTCCAGCGGATGGTCCAAGACAAACACTATATACATCGGCAAGCAGCACTTCAAACTTATGATGACGGCAAGCTATCCATAATAAATTACGTCCCATGGCTTTTTCTAGAAGAGTGCAAGTTCCATTGAGTTTTCCAGTATTGGAAGCTGTCGTGTCAAAGCACATGCCAATAACCATTGATTCACACTTTCAAGATTTTATATGTTCATGAACTGCATCAGCAGCTGCTCGTCCTAATCCAGATGCTAACTTTGGAACTCCAAGAAGTTTTGTAGTGCCATCAACAAGTGATGAGAGCAGGACAGGTAACCAATCTACGTTGACCACACCAGTAACATAGCGAGTTGACTGGTTAAAAATATACATTTTTTGCATTCTCTAATAAAGATTATCATTCTACAGGTAATTGTTAATAATATTTTAAACTCTAATTAATGTCAGCATTGAGAGTATTAAACTAGTTTGCATTTCTAGCTTTATTTCACTCATTTTGTGCATATTGTTTAAGATTATTGATATGGATTTTGAATTAACTCGATAGTAAAATTTTAAAAGCCCTTGGGGGACCTCTCAAACTTGTTCAAATGAACTGTAACTTCACCAATTTAATTATTGTACCCAAGAGACACTTTTCAGAGGGTGAGACAACAACTATTTAAAAAAAAAATTTCCGTGCATTTTTGGGACACCCTAATATATATATATATATATATATATATATATATATATATATATATATATATTGGTAGTAGACCATAATTTTTACAACATTCTATAAATTCTACCAAATGTTTGGCGTTAACATGTTCGTTTTTTCGATTTTTCTCACTAAAGTTTTTTGGTGAACGTTTAGTTTATTAAAATTCAAAATAAACTTATTTTCCGAATTCATGCTGCATATATGCATTTATAAATTCTTTCCGGCATAAGTTTAGTTCATTCTTGACACTGCAATCAATATCACAGTGATCCCATTGATTCAACAATTCAGTTAGTTGATTGGACAAGTCTTGAACTACCTTCCTTTTAACTTCTAATTCTCGAGACAGATGGAGCAGTCGCTGCTCGCGGTCTTGTTCGATTGTTAGATTACGTCAGTTGGTCGCAGAACTTCGAGTAAATGTTGGTAGTAGCCCATAATTTTAACAATATTTTATAAATTCTACCGAATGTTTGGCGTTAGCATGTTTGTAGTTCGTTTTTTTCGATTTTTCTCACTAAAGTTTTTTGGTAAACGTTTAGTTTATTAAAATTCAAAATAAACTTATTTTCCGAATTCTTGTTCGATTGTTAGATTGTTGAATTTTCCGATCTTGTTCGATTGTTAGATAAAGTCGGTTGGTCGCGTCGCAGAACTTCGAGTAAATGTTGGTAGTAGACCATAATTTTTACAATATTCTATAAATTCTACCAAATGTTTGGCGTTAACATGTTCGTTTTTTCGATTTTTTTCACTAAAGTTTTTTGGTGAACGTTTAGTTTATTAAAATTCAAAATAAACTTATTTTCCGAATTCATGCTGCATATATGCATTTATAAATTCTTTCCGGCATAAGTTTAGTTCATTCTTGACACTGCAATCAATATCACAGTGATCCCATTGATTCAACAATTCAGTTAGTTGATTGGACAAGTCTTGAACTACCTTCCTTTTAACTTCTAATTCTCGAGACAGATGGAGCAGTCGCTGCTCGCGGTCTTGTTCGATTGTTAGATTACGTCAGTTGGTCGCAGAACTTCGAGTAAATGTTGGTAGTAGCTCATAATTTTAACAATATTTTATAAATTCTACCGAATGTTTGGCGTTAGCATGTTTGTAGTTCGTTTTTTTCGATTTTTCTCACTAAAGTTTTTTGGTAAACTTTTAGTTTATTAAAATTCAAAATAAACTTATTTTTCGAATTCATACTGCATATAT